GCTGTCCCTCAGCACAGTTGCACATTCTGAGACAGTGCTCAGAAAATTCCTATGGAAAAAACCCCTCAGGAAAATCCCTACGGCCAGAGGACACGCCCCGGGCCAGTAGCATGATGGCAGCACTTGTCATATCTCCTAATGCTTATACACATAGCACCGTAGGAGTCAGACCTGACACGAGAAAGGCCCTTCAGAGGTCGTAGATTCAAGCTCTCCCATCACAGGCAGGGAGACAAGGTGCAGGCAGGCTGACACTCAGTATGGCCGATGCTGGTCATGTCTTGGGAGAGACCGTGTTCTGGGACAGGAAGCACTTCTTGAAATGAGGTGTGTATACGTGTGGGGGTGAGTGTGAGGCCCCTGTGAGGTGAGTGTGGATGAGTGGATGTGAGTGAGTGTGAGCATGAGAGTGTAAATATCTGCAAATGAGTGTGCAGGTATATGAGTGCGTGTCTGTGAGGGTACGTATATGGCTGTGTGTGTGTGAATGTGTACACATGCACATGTGTCTGTGCGTGCATGTGCTCATGCATATGTGAATGTGTAAAAATGTGTATGAATGCATTAGTGCAAACATGTGTTAGTGTGCATATAAGTGATGTGCACATGTACATGTAAGAGTATGTGAGTATGAACTTGCATGTGTGTGACAGTGGAAGTGTGAATGTGCATGCACATGCATCTTAAATTTAGCATCACACAACAGTGGCTTCCCCATCCTCCAGCCCTCGGACACTGAGGGCTCTGGAATTTTGGCACCGAGGTCTGGGGAAAGCAAATTCAAGGCACTTGACTGGGTTGGACACACCCTACATGTGTCGGATGCTGAGTGTCAGAGTGCCCTCTTTGCTGGGAGGCTGAGGGTGGCTATTTCCTCATCATCCTGTTCACATGGAAATGGCAGATGTGGAAAATCCCTGTGGCCATCACACAAACAAATATGGTTAAGTAATAACTGGAGAAACTATCTTACGGCAGCTCTCTCTCACTCTCTCTCTCTCACACACACACACATGGGTGTCTTATAGTGCCCTTATGAAAGATAGGTTGGCGAGACCAAGCTAGAAAGAGACTACTAATTTTAAAGTTTCTCTTTAATGTATGAGTTTAACATAAAGAAATATGTCATGGCACCTTGTGGACAATTTCAAATGACCGTGAAGTCCTGAGACAGGACAATGTCTTGACTTTGTTTTCCTTTTCTGGGATCTGAGGCTGGATTGTGCCCAGACAGGCAGTGGAGAGGAGTGAGAAGAATTTGGGCTTCAGATATGGCTCAGCCTGGTTTTAATCTCACTTACTAGTTGGACGGCCTTCCTGAACCTCAGTTTCTAATCTGTATGATTGGGATAATTCATTAGGAAGTTGTGAAAATGAGAAAAATGGTACACGGGAGTTTTGAATTTCAAACTGTGAAATTGTCCCTGACTTCACATCCATATATATATATTTTTTTAAAGAATTGTTTTACTTGGGACCAGCAGTTAGCGTAATGGCTATGTTGCTGGACTCCCATGTAGTCGACCGTGGTTCGAGTCCTGGACCTGGTGGCTTAAACTCACACCTGGCACGTGTGTGTACATGCTCAAGATCCTGAGAGGAGATGGGATTGCACCGTGGCCATCCCCCCTGGGGGGTGATTTCTCACTTTCTGTCTCTCTGTCTCTGTCTTTCTGGCAAGCGCATGCACCCTATAGCAAAAAGCTCTCCAATAAGAAAGAAAAGAAAAAAGAAAAAAAATTGAAAAAAAAGAATTGTTTTACTTAACTTTATTTATTATTATTATTATTATTATTATTTTCCAGTTTGATCAGACAGAGAGAGAGAGGGAAAGTGAGAAAGCAAGCCACTAGGTCCAGGACTTGAACCGCAGTCAGCCACGTGGGAGTCTAGCACTTTTAACTACCACACCACCTGCCGGTTCCCACATTTTATATAGCAGCAAAAATTCTGAGAGATGATATATGAAATATAATAATACAGATTCATTTTGCTTTTTAAATATCCAGATATATTTAAATTATAATACTTTTCCTATTTGTTCTTTTAGTGCTAATCAAATGTTATGTTCTGGGGTAAAATATTATAGCTTCCACATTTATTCTTTCCTTAATAAAACTGTTTTAACGTCTAATTACACAAGTCATGATTCAATCCTACACAAAGCACCAACTTTCTATCAAGGGTGCACTATCTATCCAGGGGCACTTGGTATGCTCATCCCCTTAATTCTGCTATTATTCCCAGCTTTTTATTTTTTTAAATAATTATTTTATTTAACTTTATTTATTTATTTATTTATTTAAATTGATCAGAGAGGGACAGAGAGAGAGAGAAAGTGAGAAAGCAAACCTCCAAGTTCGGGACTCGACCACCGTCGGCCATATGGGAATCCAGTGCCCTTAGCCACCATTCCATCTGCTGGCCCCTCCAGCTTCTTTATTTGTATCCTTGTCAGAGCAGCTGTCATTTAGTCATTAACCATGCAAATGCAGTGATTAATCACCCTAGAGATTTACCTACTGAGAAAAAAAGACAGAGAGGTGTTGATGCAGGAGTTAGGCTAGAAGATCCCTTCTGGGAGAATTGTTTTGTATTTAGAACATGAGAGAATTATGCTTCTGAACCATACAGCCATGGGTCTTTGTTAACTTGGTCAAAAGTGTTCTCAGTAAACAAAAGAGATCTTTTCCATGTAGCACTAAAAACTGTGCTTCAGGGCCAGTCCATGGTGCCGAGGGAGGTTAAGGCGGCTGGATCCCACATGGCGAACTGCATGGTTAGAGTCCCAGATTTGGTGGCTTTAAAATCATGGTGGGTGCATGTGTGTGTGTGTGTGTGTGTGTGTACCCAAAGTCCTGAGAGGAGAATGGAACAGAGGGTATTGTGGTATGGCCATCCCCTCTGGGGGTGATTTCTCACTCCCCCCCACCCCCATCTCTCTGTTTTGGGTGAGCCCATGCACCTTATAGCAAAACTAAAAACACTTTGCTTCAGATTTCAACAAGCAATGACAGGCTGTCTGTAGCATTGTACAGTGGCTTCACAAACTAGAAAGTGTTTGATGTGAAGTTGAAGACCTACCTATTTCATATATAACATGATGACTACTAAAATGAAAAAAAAAATAGATCACCTTATTAGCTCTTAAAATGTTTTCTTTTCTTCCCATCGCCCGTTTTGGATTTTGCCTACTTTTAAATAAGCATCCAGAGTTGTCATCTTTCTGGTGATGGAATTGTAAGAGATGCTGTTTGGAGGTCACCGTAAGTACTTTTTATGCTCTAAAACAAGTTCATAGTGAACATTCCCATGACTGTGTACTATTATATCTCTGTGATAACTTACTCTCCTATCCTCCTGTGGTTGTCCGGTTACATAATTTTCCATTTTCAGTCATGATCAGTAAGAACGTCTCTGTGAATAGTGCTTCACTGGAGGAGAATTCTGGGTCGAGGCGCATGAACATTTTTGTGACTTTTGATCTGTGCTGCCGAGTTCTGTGAAGGATGCCTTTCTGCATCTGATGGACCACTTTGATGTGATGCTGTTTTCTCTGGCCAGTCAGAACAATAGGGTAAGAGAATACTTTTTACTGATGGAGGGACTCAGATTTAGGTCTGAAAAGTGTTTTCTGTGTAACAGTGAGATGGTCCCTGTGATGCGGCCTGGACTATTGGGTACTCACCTTTCCTGAAAGATGCCATCTGCTTGGAGTAAGAATAGGCTATGGCACGCAGGTGCCCCCAGGGCACTGATGAGCAGGCATAAGGGATTGCTCCCAGCAGGCGCTCCCTCTGAAGTCATTGCCACCAGCTGCAGCACAGGAACAGAAGGGCCCTGTCTCCCAGCCCTGGCAGCTCAGGCCCCTGTGTGCTTCTGCCTCGGAGAGACCCTGAGCCCTTCAGGGGAGGCCTGGAACCCAGTGCTGTGACTGCCGGATGATGCCCAGGACCCTGGGGCTGGCCTTGCTGGCTCTGGTCAGTGCTGTAGGCTCAAGCCAGGCCAGCTTCACAGGTAAGGGGTCTGGGCTTGGTATGGATGATTCTTGAGGAGGGGGCTCCCTGGGAGTGGTTCTCAGGAGGATAGCACTTTACTGAGATGGGCCAGGCAAGAATGCATTTGCATTGAGAGGTGCATCTGTTCCCTGCTGGCCTCAGAGGGAGGCAGGAGCCCTGGGTCTACTTCTAGAAGAAGGCTCCTCCATGCAATCATGTCCCTGAGTCACCAGGGGGTTGATGTCTGAGTCAGCAAGTCCTGGGTGGGCCCTGGGACTCTGCATTCTATGGGTGACCAGGATGCCATGGGTCCTCAGAGCATTTAGAGAATAGTGAGTTCCTAGTAGTCAGAATAAAGGTCTCCTGACCTCGGTGGACTAAAGTTTTTGCTTACAGGTAAGGAGAGAGAGAGTCAGAGAAGTCAGGAACTTGACCCAGGCCACATAGCTGGCAGAGGCCAGAATTACTGCCAGGCAGTGAAGGAGAGCAATGCCAGAGCATTGTCCAAAGCTTTAGGAAACACATGGGTAGCAAGTGTTTCTTAAAAAGTACACTGGGTTTCTGAAACCCCAGATTTCAGAGAGTTGAGTTTACAAAAATTAAATCTTTTCCCTCTTAAAAATCTGTCTTGTTCAGTTGAGAATATAAAGAGATCTATCCTTTTTATAACATCAGCTTCATTTTTGTACTAGTTTAAATTTTTTTCACCCAGATGGAAGAATTTACTTTAATTGTGGTCTTTTTCAACTTGATTCTCCTATTGGAGTGGGTAATATAGAAACCACACAACTTGGTTGCTGAAAGAAGGAAAACATTGGGAGGCTAGAGCAGATCTCAGCCGTATTTTGTGAACCTCCTCATTGCACGTATGGGGAAACTGGGGCAGAACTCTGTAGTTCCTCAGGGTGGTACTTCTGCTCATTCTAGGTTATGGGAACCATGAACTCTCCACTGGGTACTGGCATGGCAGAATCACATAGCTGGAATCTGTGAAGCTAGGGCCCAGGCTCGCACTGGGACATGAAGATTTCCTATCTCTGGGGCTAGAATCCAGGACCCCGTTCCTGTTCTGATGGCTCTTAAAGGGATTTGTTGAATTTCAGGATCTATCTGCTAAGAGGCTTCTCCTTCTCTACTCTGGCCTTGGCCAAGACACCAAGCTTAGAGATGACAGGGCGACTTACAGTTAAATATGAAAAAGAAAACAAGTGAAATGTCTCCCAAGTTCCCCAGGAGATGAGTGAGTCTTTGTGTGTGTATACATGTAGGAGGGGTCTGCTGATGACCAGCTGGAGCCTCGGAATGATCAGATGGGGCCTGGCAGCTCTCTAGACACTGGGAACTGTAACCATCAGTTACAAGGCTAGAATCTCATTTTAGAGTGAGATGAAAAATAAGACCTGGATCCACCTTGCCAAGTTCTCCATGCAGGAAGTCCTCAGGGCTCTGCCTTGTTCAGAAAGTTAGTAAAAGTTGCTAAATCTAGTCATCCTCTGTAGCCCCTCATCCAGGCCATGTATGAGTTCTTGGTCATGCTTTTCTGGTCCCAGGAGCAATTTTTCCTGCCCCATCCCATAGCCAGGGCTTCCCATTTCTTTCCAGAGCTTACTGTAACCAGCCCTCTGGGAGGATGAGCAGCAGGTGGTCCGTGTATCAGAGGGCCTGCTGATCCCCCAGGGGTGACTAGAATAAGCCTGTTCCCAAGAGCTTGCTGCTCTTATGACTCCACTCCTTGTGGTGTGGGCTTGCTCCGGGGCAAGTGTGTGATCCAACACCTGTATTCTGCCTAGAATTAGGCTGCAGTCTCCTCTGTAAGTCTGAGTTTAAAGGCCAGTTCTGTCTTCCTGAGGGAAGTAACAAGTCCCCCAGTCTTAGTTTCTGTGCACTAGAGGGTTACTGTGAGATCCTAGGAGGGAAACTTCAGAGATGCTGACCCAGTGTTGGGATGAAAACAGCCACTGTTATTATGATTATTTCTGTCCCCATCTCTGAGGTCCCACCCAGAAATAAATCCAGCTACTCACTGAGGGAAATAAGCTATAACATTGTACCCCTACCTATCAGCTGCACAGTCTAGTACAGCTAAGGGCTTGAGCATCAGAAATTGAAATGTGTTCAAACCATTCATCCTACACCAAAAGTCCAGGTATGCATAGAGCCCCATGCCAAAGGAGCAAGAGGGGGCTCCCATGGTCCCTACCCTGTGTCATCGTCATTGCCTGGCCCACCGTAGGCCTTCGGTATGTATTTATTGAGAAATATATACTGAAATACCTACAGGCAAAACCAAGGATACAAACTCCTGAGGATTTTTGTTGTTGTTTTTAAATTGGCAGAGGGCATATGTATTTATCAGAGAGAAAGACACACTCATACATACACACACACACACACACACATACACACACACACACACACATGGAGGGGAGAGAGAAAGCACCCCTCAAAGGGGGTGTGGTCACTGTGCAACCCCTTCTCTATTTCTCCATCCTGTGGGTAGTCAGGGCATGCATGTACACATTCCTGGTGTGTTTTTCAAGCTGTGGTCAGCCATCTGAGATGTAATTCCATTAACCACTAGATCACGGGGCTAGCCCTCTCCTGAGTTTGATTCTAACCCTGTGCCCTTTCTTCAATATATTGTCAGACCTCTGGGCTGCAGAAAGCATGAGATGGCCCAGGGTGGCACCTCCTTGCTTTAGAAAAGCGGATCTACATTTATGCTTTATTCCTTCAGATTTTTGCTAAAGTAATGATTTTCTCAGTGCATTTTGAGGCCAAACATCCTGACAGGGAAAGGGTCAGGCATGTCTAAGAGTGAAAGATTTTATTTCAGTTGCTCTTGCAGGGATATAATTTCAGATAAACACACACATCAATTCCTCTTGGTGGTTATCTTGGTTTTGTTCCTCAACCCCTCTCCCTCTTAGAAAAAGGACTCTCCTTGTTGAGCTACCAGCTGTGCACCTATCGAGTGACCCAGAATGTTCAGAAAGTGGAGCCCTTCCAGATATCTCACGTGACCTATGCATCCTGCGGCAGCTGGATCCCCTGGAGGCGGTGCCCTAAGACTGTGTACAGGACCCAGTACCTGGCAGTGGAGGTCCCTGAGTCCAGGAATGTGACCGACTGCTGCGAGGGCTACGAGCAGCTTGGCCTCTACTGTGTCCTACGTGAGTCCAGGGCTGTGGGCTGGGTTGGAGCAGGGCATTCCTTCCTTATGAGGCTGATGAGTGGCTGGGATAACTCAATGTTCTCACTCATGAGCCCTGAACCTGCCAGATCTTTCTTTTTTTTTTTTTTTTTTTTTTTTTAAAAAATTTCCCTGTAGGTTGGGATGAAAACAGCCACTGTTATTATGATTATTTCTGTCCCCATCTCTGAGGTCCCACCCAGAAATAAATCCAGCTACTCACTGAGGGAAATAAGCTATAACATTGTACCCCTACCTATCAGCTGCACAGTCTAGTACAGCTAAGGGCTTGAGCATCAGAAATTGAAATGTGTTCAAACCATTCATCCTACACCAAAAGTCCAGGTATGCATAGAGCCCCATGCCAAAGGAGCAAGAGGGGGCTCCCATGGTCCCTACCCTGTGTCATCGTCATTGCCTGGCCCACCGTAGGCCTTCGGTATGTATTTATTGAGAAATATATACTGAAATACCTACAGGCAAAACCAAGGATACAAACTCCTGAGGATTTTTGTTGTTGTTTTTAAATTGGCAGAGGGCATATGTATTTATCAGAGAGAAAGACACACTCATACATACACACACACACACACACACATACACACACACACACACACATGGAGGGGAGAGAGAAAGCACCCCTCAAAGGGGGTGTGGTCACTGTGCAACCCCTTCTCTATTTCTCCATCCTGTGGGTAGTCAGGGCATGCATGTACACATTCCTGGTGTGTTTTTCAAGCTGTGGTCAGCCATCTGAGATGTAATTCCATTAACCACTAGATCACGGGGCTAGCCCTCTCCTGAGTTTGATTCTAACCCTGTGCCCTTTCTTCAATATATTGTCAGACCTCTGGGCTGCAGAAAGCATGAGATGGCCCAGGGTGGCACCTCCTTGCTTTAGAAAAGCGGATCTACATTTATGCTTTATTCCTTCAGATTTTTGCTAAAGTAATGATTTTCTCAGTGCATTTTGAGGCCAAACATCCTGACAGGGAAAGGGTCAGGCATGTCTAAGAGTGAAAGATTTTATTTCAGTTGCTCTTGCAGGGATATAATTTCAGATAAACACACACATCAATTCCTCTTGGTGGTTATCTTGGTTTTGTTCCTCAACCCCTCTCCCTCTTAGAAAAAGGACTCTCCTTGTTGAGCTACCAGCTGTGCACCTATCGAGTGACCCAGAATGTTCAGAAAGTGGAGCCCTTCCAGATATCTCACGTGACCTATGCATCCTGCGGCAGCTGGATCCCCTGGAGGCGGTGCCCTAAGACTGTGTACAGGACCCAGTACCTGGCAGTGGAGGTCCCTGAGTCCAGGAATGTGACCGACTGCTGCGAGGGCTACGAGCAGCTTGGCCTCTACTGTGTCCTACGTGAGTCCAGGGCTGTGGGCTGGGTTGGAGCAGGGCATTCCTTCCTTATGAGGCTGATGAGTGGCTGGGATAACTCAATGTTCTCACTCATGAGCCCTGATCATGCCAGATCTTTCTTTTTTTTTTTTTTTTTTTTTGAGAGAATTTCACTGTAGGGCGCGTGCGCGCGCCAGACAGACAGAGAGAGACATAGAGACAGAAAGCGAGAAATCACCCCCCAGGGGGGATGGTCATGCCGCAATCCCTTTGCCTCCATTCTCCTCTCGGGCTCTTGGGCACGCATGCACACGTGCCCGGCGTGAGTTTTAAGCCACCAGGTCCGGGACACAAACCGCGGTCGACTACGTGGGAGTCCAGCGACATAGCCATTATGCCAACTGCTGGTTCCCAACCTGCCAGATCTTTCATGAACACTAGTTCCCAACCTTGCACGTGCATCTGGATCACCTGGAAGGCTTCTCCTGGCCTCACTACAGACTTCTGACTCTATGAAATACCAGAACAGGTTTTTTTTTGACAAATTCCCAGGTGGTCCTGAGGCTGCCGGCCCCAGGAGTATCTCTCTTTGAGAACCTCTGTGATCCTCAGATGTTAATGTACCCAGGCAGCTTAAAAAAGGCAAATGGTTTTTTACAGTGGTGGTTAGTCAACCTTTTTTTTCTGAAAGCTACAGCAAAATACTTTTTTTAAAGAGAGATTTTTGCTATAGGATGCGTGTGTTTGTTGGAGAGACAGAGAGACAGAGTGAGAAATTACCCTTCCAGGGGAATAGCCATGACACAATCCCTTCTCCTCCATTCTCCTCTCAGCATTTTGGGCATGCAGGTATATGTGCTCAGCGTTAGTTTCAAGCCACTGGGTCCAGAACTTGAACTGCTATTGGCCATGTGGGAGTCCAGCGACGTAACTGCTATTGTCATCTGCTGGCCCACAAAATACTTGTTTTTTTTTTTAAATTATTGTTTATTGAATTTTATTTATTCATTCATTTATTTTAATTTGATCAGAGAGAAACAGAGAGAGAGAGAGAGAGAGAAAAAGTGAAAACGTAAGCCACCAGGTCCAGGACTCAAACCATGGTAGGCCATGTGGGAGTGTCCAGCACCATAAACACTATACCACCTGCTGGTCCCCCAAAATGCTTTTATCAACAGAAATCTTAACCTGAACTCTGATGTGTGAAAAACATGGAATGGGGACTGAGCTTCCCATCCTAATGGCCCAGAGACCCCCAAGTCCTCTTACTTTCTCAGTACAGTTTGAAAGGGTGTTTGAGGCCGGTTACCAGGGCCTCATAGGGCTGCTCAGGGCCAGGGTCTGTGCAGGCTGGGCCAGGTGGGGCCTCAGGGTTCTGCCTCCTGATGTGGGGGGTCTTTGTAGCAGACCCCTCCCAGGGAGGATATGTGCATGTGTGGGTGGTGATTGTCAACGCTGAGTCAACGCCAGATCTGAAGTGAGTTTCTATACAGTCAGAAGGTCCTGCCTTCCACCCCCGTGGTGGAGGGGAAGTGGGAAGGGTGTGGCTCCAGCAAGCACAGTCAGGGCCACTCCAAGACGCCTCCAGAGTGCAGAAGTCACCAACTTGGGGTGCCCCTAGAGGGACCCACATGACCCATGCCTGTGACTGGGACCAGAGTGCCAGCGGGCCAGACATGAACTCCTCAGACCAGGGTCAGTGCAACCTCCTGAGGCCGTGTGGAGTCAGCACACTTAGCTGTCCCAGATGTGCCCTCCCTCTGGCCACCCATGCAATCTCACAGAGGATGGGGAAACTGATGCCTCTCCATTGGCCTGTTTGTAGGGCCTGGCACAGAGAAGACTACAGTTCCAGGCTAAGTGGTTTGACAGGTGTACACCTCATGCAAGAGTGTTAAAAGGACAGCACATTGCCAGTGCAAGCACCACTAATAAAGCCCAGAGAAGACCTGCTGACTGTGGGGTAGTGAGAGGCTGTTGCCTGCCATCCTGCCCAGACACTAGTGCTAAGGGGCCCCCTGCCCCGACACCACCTCCCTC